GAGACAGGGTGTCACCATGTTGGCCAAGCTGGTCTCGAACTCCTGACTTCAGGGGATCTGCTCGCCTCGGCCTCCCAAAGTGTTGGGATTACAGGCATGAGTCACCGCGCCTGGCCTTTTTTTTTTTTTTTTTTTTTTTTGGCACAGTCTCACTCTGTTGCCCAGGCTGGAGTGCAGTGGCACAGTCTCAGCCCACTGCAACCTCTGCCTCCAGGGTTCAAGCCATTCTCCTGCCTCAGCCTCCTGAGTAGCTGGGACTGCAGGTGCCTGCCACCACGCCCAGCTAACAGAGATGGGGTTTCACCTGGAATTTTCTAGCTGAATCCAGGATACCCTTTCCTCTTGTGAGCTGTGATGCTAGAGGATCCAAGCCCAGTGTTGCCTAAGGCTAAGTGCCCCGATAGTGGAAAAAGCCCACATGAAGGAGGAGACAGTGAAGCAAACAGGTAGAGAGGATCGAAACTCATGGATGGAAAGAGCACTTTGAAACCTTTGATTACCTTGTTCCAGTTGTCCTCGAGAAAGCTCTCCCCTACTCATCTCACTGTTGGTTCCATAAACCATTTCACTCCCCATTTTTGTTCAGGTTTGTTCAAGTTAACTTTCTGAAACTCAGAACAAAAGAGTCTAGACTAATGTTTTCTACTTTTTATGCAAGAAAGCCACAATCTTAAGTTTTTGTGTGTAAGATCATGGACTGATTTAAGGCTGTTTTATTGAACTTTGCATTTGAAATGAAAACCTCACTATTTCCTTTTATCATTCTTAGTTGATGGTATATTATTCTTTGCCTATCTTCTCATCATGAATATACAGTATCACAATTTACTACTGTAATAGAGGGAACAAGTGATTTTGGAAATAAAAATGCTCTCTCTGTGATCCGAGTGGGGCTGAGGAGTGGGGACAGATCTCCATTTTGCCCTGTTCCTCCTGAAGCGGGAGGTGGGGACTGGGTCCTGAAGTTGGCAGCCCAGTGTTTTTAGTTTTCATTTTTTAATTTTTTGAGACAGAGTTTCGCTCTTGTTGCCCACGCTGAAGTGCAATGGCTCAATCTCGGCTCACGGCAACCTCCACCTCCCAGGTTCAAGAGATTCTCCTGCCTCAGCCTCCCAAGTAGCTGGGTTACAGGCATGTGCCACCATGCCCATGGCAGCCCATTGTTTAGGATTGCCCCATAAGGGTGTTCAGATGCACGAATGACATGCAGTGCCTACGTTTGGATGTAGGGCCGGAGAAAGCTGAACTGATCTGTATGCAAAGGGGACAGGAATTAGGGGCAAAGAGGCAAGAGAACAAAGGAGAAGATGGGAGCAGAAAGGAAGTCACAGGCATACTCTGGGAGATAAGCCACATTGTCCTATAACTGAAGCCACTTTTTCCTGCCAGGGCACTTAACCTCAGGCAACACTGGGCTTGGAATCTTATAACATCTCAGCTCACAGGAGGAAAGATTATCTTCTATCCTGGATTCAGTTAGACAATCCCAGATGATGATAATGGGATCCTGGCTTAGGCCACATGTCCACTCCCTCAGACCAGTCACTGAGGCCAGGTAGTGTGGTTGGCCCAACTTAAGTCACCTGCTCCGCGGGGCTCAGAAGAGCATACTTGCTAGTGTAGTAATGGTGCCACAGGTAGTGCGGAGCCTGCTCTGACAACCCTAAAGCTTTTCGAAAACAGGAAAGCCAAATAAATATTCAATTAGATAAGTTACTTGCTGTCTGAAGATGTAATATAACTAGAGCAACCATTTAATTTATGATCCAAACCTGGGCCCTTTAAGAGTAAAAGGCGACACTATTAATAATAATATCACGTATAAACCAGGGCTGTCCCAGGCAAGCCAGGCCTATGGTCCAATCAAATATTACCTTCTTATTACTTTCATATCCAGTGAAGTGGGCCACACACAGATGCCTTGTAACGTTTTTCAGAGGGAAATTTTTTTAAAAAGAAATGAAAAGAAAAAAGAAGTCTGCTTCAGGTTTTCGATGGTGTGTGCTGGGCAGGAACAACTTTCACATGATTGCGACACTCCAGCCACTGTGCGGCTCCAGCAGGGAGGGCACGGGGTGCAGGTCACAGTGCCTAGGAGAGAGGCTGGGTGGGAACATGCAGCTCTCACCACGCTGGGTTTGGGATCAGCCGATCACCCGAATCTCAGCCAACAAATCGGCTCCACCATGCTCTACTCTTGCTGCACTTAATTGCTCTCCATTCATTAGATAGGAGGTATATATAGTCTCACCCAGATAACATTGATTTTTTTTTTTTTTTTTTTCTGAGACGGAGTTTTGCTCTTGTTGCCCAGGCTGGAGTGCAGTGGCATGATCTCCACTCACCACAACCTCTACCTCCTGGGCCCAAGCAATTCTCATGCCTCAGCTTCCATAGTAGCTGGGACTACAGATGCCCACCACATCCAGCTAATTTTTGTATTTTTAGTAGAGATGGGTTTCATCATGTTGGCCAGGCTGGTCTTGAACTCCTGTCCTCAAGTGATCCACCTACCTCGCCCTCCCAAAATGCTGGGATTATAGGTGTGAGCCACTGTACCCAGCCTTATTTCTTCATCTTTTTTTTTTTTTTTTTTTTTCTTGAGATGGAGTCTCGCTCTGTCACCCAGCTGGAGTGTAGCAGCACAGTCTCCACTCACTGCAACCTCCATCTCCCAGGTTCAAGTGATTCCCCTGCCTCAGCCTCTTGAGTAGCTGGGATTACAGGCATGCACCACCACACGTGGCTAGTTTTTCTAGTTTTTGTAGAGATGGGGTTTCATCATGTTGCTCAGCCTGGTCTCAAACTGCTGGCCTCAAGTAATCCACCCACCTCAGCCTCCCAAAGTGCTGGGATTACAGGCATGCGCCACTATGCCCAGACCCATTTCTTCATCTTTAAAATGGGGGTAATAGCACCTAACTCATAGGGATGTTATAAACGTTATATCAGTATATCAAACACCTACTGTGCCTTACCACATTCTCATGAAACAACTATTTTACTCCAACTACTGTGTAATAACCAACTTCATGCAATATCATCTGACAGCCAGACAGCCAAATAATTTGGAAGGACCAGTGAAAAATAAAAATGCAAAGCCACTTGTTCCAAAAATTATTAAGAATATCAAGCCAACAACATGAGTGCATTAAACCAAACCCAGACCTTGTGCGGTTGTACAGGTTACATTACCTTGGCACAGGTAACATGCCCTTGGCACAGGTGCTGTTGACAGCTCCTTCCCTCTGATGTACCAGTTATCTCTCATTTTCTGCCCCAGTGCTTCTTTGACACCATGGCGTTCATATACGTGCAATCTGGAAGCCTGGACGAATTACGATCCATGAGGCAACACTGGAGCAATAGAGGATGGGGGCCACAAGATAAACACCACCCTCCTGTGACACTCAGGTGGACAATGCTGAGATGCATTCTACATCCTGATGAGGAACCTGTGAATCAGATCCCTCTCTTTCCCTTACATGCCCACAAGTTCTTGTCTCAGACTCTGCTCTCAGGCTTAGACAAAGGCATACTTTTGATAAAACACTTTGCATAGATCTGTTTTATCAAAGTCCTCCCTTTTTCTATCTGAGGTGCAATAAACAGTGATCAATAAAAGAGATGTGAGGATTAAATTCTAATGAAGAAGAAGAAGAGGAGGAGGAGGAGGAGGAGGGAAGGAAGGAAGGAAGGAAGGAAGGAAGGAAGGAAGGAAGGAAGGAAGGAAGGAAGGAAGGAAGGA